CGCATGGAGGCTCGGGGAGGGTGAAAAACAGGCCTACCGGAAGTTCGAGAAACAGGTCCGTTTCCGGCCTCCAGAGGGCCTCCGGAGCCTGAGGAGGCCATTTTTGCCCTCCCGCAGGCTTGAGGAAAGCCTCCGGAGCCCGGGGAGGGCAAAAACGCCCCCCCCTCTGTGGTGCAGGAGGCTGACTAGGCCACACCCACCATGACCACACCCACCAACAACTGGGCAGAGAATCCCTTGCTAAAATTTTTGAAGCTGGTTTCTGCCCTTAACGACTGTCACATGATCAAAATTTCAGTACTTGGAAATCGGCAAAGACTCCAGTACACTCCACTGGAGTCACCCTATAAAAAAACCCAAAAGTAAAAATGACATTGCAACTGACCACACAAAGATGAGTCAGAGTTGCTGTAATCTAAGAATCTGAGTACCCAGGTAAGACAGGGAACTGGTGTCCCTCCTTATAGATGATTTGTGTGGCCACAAAAAAGCCCAAACCACCCTTGTTACTTCACCCTCGGTGCTCCAGATGGTATTCTGTGAGTCAATCAGAAACGCTGAAGGATTACAGAGTATGGCACTCCTGGAGTCAAGACTTCTACCACCACACCCAAAGGAATATAAAATACCAGAGCAATATCCCACATTAATGGAGAACTTGAAAGCTTAGTTAAAGTTGGTTAATTTGACTGAACACTTTTGTTTAGGGGCTTTCAGACTTTTTGGGGGGTTCTGGAAGTTGTGAGTTTTGTTTAAAAAGAATCTGGAACCCCTGATCCAGAAGGACAGCCAAGTGATAGAAAATAGGGAATGAAACGAGACTTGTGCTCATTCTAATGCATTTATGCAAGGGTATATATTAAAAAGTTATTGGAATGTCACAAAAAATAGATGCCCCAATTAATGCCCCAGAAAGTTCCCTCCAAGTATTGTAACTGTAAACAGGAAAGTGCATATTGTAAATACAAAATTAATGTTTACAAAGCATTAAACTGGAAATAAAATTAGAAAGTTAATGTTTTTGCCAAACAAATCAATCTTCATTGACTGGGAAGCAATTACGGTACTTTCCTTATGAAAGATAGAAATAGAAGCTCCTGGCTCCATTTGGGTGAAAGAGATAGATTTGTCTTTAGTTTCTTATTGAATTCAAATATAGCTTGGAAAACTCTTTTCTAATTCCTTGCGTGTCCGACCACACTTGGTCAATAAAGAATTCCATTCCATTCCATTCCATTCCATTCCATTCCATTCCATTCCATTCCATTCCTCTACTCTACTCTACTCTACTCTACTCTACTCTACTCTACTCTACTCTACCCTACCCTACCCTACCCTACCCTACCCTATTCTGGCTTCTTGCAATGTTTCCATGCTCAACAAATCTTCTTTCTGTGATGTAGGTCAGTGACCCGTTCCTACTACCGTAACGCAGCTGGGGGAGTCCTGATGTTTGACCTAACCAACCGGGCATCATTTGAGAACATCAGGAACTGGCACCAGGAAGTGGTAGACACAGTCAAACCTCACTGCCCAGTTTTCGTGCTGGTGGGGAACAAGAGTGACCTGGAGGCTGAACGGAAGGTGGGACAAAAGGAGGCTGAGAAACTGGCTGTTTCTTTTGAAGCAAAGTATATTGAGACTTCGGCGAAAAGCAGCAGCAATGTGGAGGCAGTTTTCCAAATGTTAACTCTGGGCATCTATGAGGCCTTGAAAAGTGGGGTGATGAAACTTGGTCCACAGTGGGATGGAGTGAAAACCAAACTGCCATTACCGGTTCGATCAGAAGTTCCCGTTCAGGAAAAGAGAAAGAAATGTTCTTGCTAGCTGAAGACAAGAGCCACTGTGCAATTGGGACAACGTTCTTGCATTAACAATTTTGCAAAAGAATTTACACATTGTGCCACACTGTGAGTTGTGAAACCATAATTCGTTGACTAAGCCACTATGGTTTAAGTACAACCCAATCTGCAGAGTCCTTAAATATGATTTATACGTGCACAATGGGGTCTGCAGAGCAAATTTTGCAAAGCAAATTTTGTAAGCCTCCTTTGTGGGCACAAATCTTGAAGATTCCATCACAGAGGCCTACAATCTTATTTATTCTTGCATGTCACAAATGTTTAAAAAAAAGCGTTCAAGTGAAGTTGCCAAGTTAGGGTTGAGCTCATAAATAATCAAACCGGGATACTCATGGAGCATGGTACCTTGTTTGGGGTGGTGACTGTGGTCAACTTTCCATACACTTCTCTAACAGTAAACAAGGATTCATTGATGGTTAGAGCTCAGCTTGTCTTTCCTTGGTAAATATCTCACAAACTTCTAGCTACTTACTGCACTTCACATGAGAGCTATTATTTAGAGAATGATTTTCTCTTGCAGGAACTACAGTATGGGACTTTAAGAAAATGGATTATGTTCATTAAAATTGTTTTCATAAATTATCTAGTGGTAAGGAAGGGTCCTTTCCCAATCTACCCATTGTCACTGAAGCACTGGGGATGATACAGAATCTTCTTTTTTTAATTTTTTTTTAAAAAAGATAAAAACTGTTACAGACTAATATAAGAAAAAAGAGAAAACAAATGCAAGAAAGGAAAAATAGTAAAAGAATAAAGAAAAAGAAAAAAGATACAAGGTGACTTCCATTCTTTATAGTAGCTAAAAATACAATTATAAATTTATCTCCATTATGTTACATATGTATTATTAGTCTTTTGTATTTATTGAAAATCTTGTATTTATTCTATATACCTTCTCAAATTATGCCTCTGATACCTCTTCATCCCAATCCAAAAAATTTCCTAAAACTTTAATAACTTTTTCTCTAATATCTACATCAGAATCTGTTGGAATTATTTTAAATCTCAAACACAATTCCTTCTCAGTTCCAGGGGTGCGAAATTATCTACCGTATTTTTAAGATTATAAGACACACCTAAATTTACAGGAGGGAAACAAGAAAAAATTAGTTTTTGGCCTCTGCGCGTTGGATTTTCGCCCTCCCAGGCCCCCAGAAGCACTCTGCAGTGCTCCGTATAGCCCGTTTTTGGCGAAAATAGGTGCGCTTTTGACAAAAACGTACCCATTTTTGGACTGCAGAGTGCTTCTGGGGGCCAGGTAGGGCAAAAACACGACACATGGAGGCTTCGGGAGGCCAAAAACTGTTTGAAGCTGATGTTATTTCAGATTCCTAAGTTTCAGATCTATGTAGATGATATTGAATAGGGCGGCTTTTAAAAGACAAATGGAATTACAAGTTATTGATATCAGGATTAGGAGAAGCTGACTCTGAAGCATGGTATTTGTTGTGACAACAGTAACTTTTAAGTACCCATAATTTCACTTTACGTTGGTTTTGCAGATGCATTTAAAATAAAACGGTCCACTTCAGTGTATGGGTGCAGCACACACATATATATCAGCGGCATGGCTGCCGGTTAGAAGTGGTGAGAGTTCCATCTTAATACACCTGGATGAAGGAAAGCAGATTAAATGTGCTAATCTAAATCCAGTCAGTGGTTATTCCATCTTTTTTCCTTAATCAACTTTCTTCAATAAAAAAACAAAAAGAAAAAAAAATCCAAAGAATGCACTAGAAGCTGGACTATGAATGTGGCATTCTACAGCTTCCGTTAAATCCCATAAACAAGCAGATGTACATTAACAGCCCTGCATAAAAATATCTCCTGTTATCACATGGATAGCTCCTGATCAGGGCCAGAAGCTGGATGCGGGTCAGTGGCTAATCCCAGAGGCAAAGAGATGATGCCAGTTGCGTCCCTTTCTGGATCGGGACTCCTTACGCATGGTCACTCATGCCCTCGTCACCTCCCGCCTGGACTATTGTAACGCTCTCTACATAGGGCTCCCCTTGAGGAGCACCCAGAGGCTCCAACTGGCACAGAGTGCGGCCGCGCGGGTGGTAATGGGAGCGACATGGCGTTCCCATGTGACACCCCTCCTGCGCGAGCTGCACTGGCTCCCAGTGGTCTTCTGGGTGCGCTTCAAGGTTTTGGACACCACCTTTAAAGCGCTCCATGGCTTAGGACCTGGGTACTTGCGGGACCGCCTACTACCAACAATAGCCTCCCACCGGCCGGTACGCTCTCATAGAGAGGGGCTCCTCCAGGTGCCGTCGGCCAAACAATGTCGATTGGTGGCCCCCAGGGGGAGAGCCTTCTCTGTGGGGGCACCTACTATCTGGAACGAGCTCCCCCTGGAGATACGGAGGATCCCGGATCTGCGCACCTTCCGCCGCGCTCTTAAGACCTTTTTATTCCACCAGGCGGGCTTAGCCTAACTTTCTCCCTCTTTTTAAATAATTTTTAAATATTTTTAATATTCAAAGTTTAATTTGTTTTAAATTGATTGGGGTTTTTTAATCTGTCTGGGCCAAACTATTTAATTCGATTTTATTTCTGCTTTTTAAATTTTGTATGTATGTATTTTATTGTTGGTTGTTCACTGCCCTGAGTCGTTCGGGAGTAGGGCGGTATATAAATCAAAGTAAAGGGCCCACGTGAGATGGGCAGCTTTAACCAGGAGATAGCTAGAACGTAAGTCCATGTGGTAACATTGGTCAAGGCAGTGTTTCTCAACCCTGGCAACTTCCCTAGCGTGACGGCTGGGGAATTCTGGGAATTGAAGTCCACCTTTTAAGCTGCCACAATTAAAGAAGTGGATTGCGCCCTTGGGAAAATACGGCTCCAATCCCCTTGTGAAGTTCTGAATTATTTTTAGGCTGCTCGTTATTTCTGAATTCTACAGCTTCTGAGGATAGAATGAGAGCTACTATCCCTTCTACACTAAGCATTACTCTGAGAAAATGGGAAGCTCTAAAAGAATAGGAACGTAAGAATAATGTTTCACACTATGTTTCCCTACTAGGAGAAGCATTGTGGCCTTCCCAGTTTCTTGATGCCATTTTCTTACTCAAAGCACTCGATAATTGTGCTTGTCACCTTAGCATAATTCACAAAACACCTTAGAAAAGGAGATACATAGGGTATTCATTTATTGTTACATTTTCAACTAGTGGAAACTTACACAAATTCTTCTTTAAAAGTCCCTGCTGGATGAGCTCAACGCAAAGCTGATGCAGTCAGAACTTATGTGATAGAGAACAAAGGACAATGAGGGATGGGGAACCCAAATCAATGGCTGTTTCCTCATTCAGAGTATTGGCCAAGCACCCCCTCGGCTGCTCCTGTGTAGCTTATCAAGTGTGAAGTGGGAGAGGGGAGGATACACACTTCCTTGCAAGCGCCTACTTCAGAAACAACCTTCCCCCTCCAGAAGCAGTGAAGTCGTTTTCACAATGCACAAATATCTGAAACAGCAAATACTTCTACCCGCCAGTAAAATGCTGGATGTCAAGTGTGCTTTTAAGAATTCAGAACCTTCCTGGGAAAAAAAAGAGTGCCAGCATCCGATCAAAAGGTGTATTTCACTCACTCTTACAGGAGAAGAAGAAAAAAAAAAAGAACAAACCACAGATTGTACCACAAACTTCTGGATGCGAAGAAGGGTGAGCGATCCCACTCCACAGACATTTGTCAGAGACTATTATCTTGGGAACAAGTAAGGTGGGTTTAACCGGACCTGCAGACTGGTGTTTTTTTTTTTTTTAATTTTGATTTTGTAGTTCAAGTCTTGTTCCTACTGCATTTTTTACAGGACTTGTGGTACAAAAAGAATTCAACTTTTCTCCTACCGCCATCCTGAGCGTTAAATAAAAAAGAAAAGAAAAGAAAAGAAAGGAATTTGCTTTCAACTGAAGCTCCTGTCAATACTGTGGTCTGCTTTTGGAGATCCATCATTCATTTTCTGAAAGAAGTCCAAATACCATAAATAGCAACATTACAAGTAAGGAAGGAGGGGGGGGGGGGGGGGAGGAATGGGGAAAAAAAATCGTCTATGGCCACTTCTAATACTGTTCTCAAAAATAGCAAAATATTTTATCCCTTGGACAATCATGGATACCGTAATATCGCTTGGAAGGAGGAAAATAAAAGTCTAGGCTCCGAGATAAGTTCCTCTGGGGCAAGAGATGCGAGGAGACTTATTGATGGTTGGCAGATCTTCTCTAATAACTCTTTTATTGCTGCACTGTGAAAATAGACGCTTCCCTATGAAGCATTGCAAAAAAAAATAAAAATAAAAATTATCCCATAGATGACCTCAAGGGTAACTCCACAGCTTCAGAGGCAGACTTTTCTTTTCTTTTTCTCATAGAAGAGTCTTTTTCTATTTTTTTCCTTTTAATTTCTTTGTCTTTTTCCCCAGAGTTATTTCTTGGTTGTTTTGCGGATCAATGCCATTCTCTGAAAAGTAAAAGAAAGGGGGTGGGGGAGGGAGGAGAAAGACAGCATGAAGACGGGTCTCTTAGATGTAATGGAAGCTATGGATGACCTTGGGGGATAAGAGATGTATGGATGACTTCCATTAGACTTAATAAGTTTAAGCTAGGAATATGATTAACAGAACTCGGAACAAACTACAATTCACCCAACAATCTACCTCTCCAGAATACCAGCAGCTATTGAGTTCCCAATCTGGCTTGGGGCTCCAATTAAAGACATCCATCTCTTCTCCGCTCGCTTTAACTTACTCCCAAGGCATACCAACGTATCTCCAAACTTGCCCTTTGAGCTTGCAGGAAAGATACTTGGCCAATTGTTGTTTCTTTCCTTACAGGCCAAATAAGTAATTTCAAAGTATTGGCATAGGACCCAGTTATCTTCGAGACCGTCTGCTGCTATGGACGACCTCCCACCGACCTGTGTGCTCCCACAGAGAGGGCCTCCTCGGGGTGCCATCAGCCAAACAATGTAGGCTGGTGACCCCCAGGGGGAGGGCCTTCTCTGTGGGGGCACCTACTCTCTGGAATCAGTTGCCCCCAGAGATAAGGAGAATCCAAGACCTCGGTGCCTTCCGCCGTGCCCTTAAAACCTTCTTTTTCCAGCAAGCCGGGCTGGCCTAACACTTTTTAAAATGTTTTTAATTGTTTGCTATTGTTTTTAATCATGGGGTCAAATTTATATATATCTTTTTAATTGTATTTTAATGTTTGTAGTTTATGTTTTTACTTGGCTGTTCACCGCCCTGAGTCCTCAGGGAGAAGGGCAGTATACAAATTTAAAAATAAAAAAAAATTTAAAAAAAGGTAGGCAGCCCTGGTTTAGAACAACATTCCCCACAAATTTTCTTTTTTAATAAATAGAATTGCGATGGTATTTTAAGTGGAGAGGAAGAGGGCAGCCTAGAAGATACTATTATTTTTATACTTTAAATCATATAAACAATTAAGGAAACAATTAGGCATGCATCGTTGATTTAAAAAAAAAGCTCAAGTGGAATTTGAACAGTAGAAATTGGGCACAAAACCTCAACTTGTTAGCAAGCTCAATTTTTCATTTGAGATATTTCCCTTTTCTTGCTATTTATCATTGGTTTCATGGAGCAGAAAATATCTGTTTCACACTGCATCATTTCACTTAGGTGTGAATTATGTGGGGAAGGGGGGTGGGGAGAGAGATCCTTACCTGTTTGTGAGCTTCTGTAGTGCAGGCTTTTTTATATGGCCTGATTTCTTCAGAGCCAAAACCTGGGATCCACATATTCCACTGGCGTTCTGGGGGATAGCAACAGCATCAGAGTGGGTCGTGGTGAGGAAATGAAATCATAAGCAGATGACGATTTGAACAAGGGATAAAAAACAGGCAAGAGAATCAGATCCAGCCATTTAGAAAGCAATGAATTAATACTCAACTACATCACAATTCCCCAACCTTTGCGGATTTGCAGACCAGGGTGGGGGTGGGGTGAGGAAGAGGGGATGGTTCCGTGCAAATGGCGTGCACGAATGGAGCGTGTGTGCATCTCCTCACCTGCTCCTCGTTCAAGTGGGGATGTGCGTACGTGTGTGCTCGCCATTCCTGTGGCCCAGTTGCAAACAGCTCACGGCCTACTAGTTGGCCACTACCAGAGGTTGGGGACCTCTGCACTATATCATTGAAAAAATATATGCTTTTGCAGGAATCTGACTCCCCCTCCCTCCTGAGCCCTTTTTTGTATCTCTTCTGGCAAACCTGTGAGGCACTTCATAAAAAATACCCCAAGATCTTAAATCTTTCCAATATGGACTTTGTATTCTGGGCTGACAGATGAGTGACAAAAGATAAGCTTGCATGCAAAGACCGGAAAAGTGAACCATGATGCCATTTATGGTTACCAGAACGAATCTGGAAACCTCTTTTTAGGTACTCATTGCAGGAGATTGAAACCTCATTTTTGATTCCTTTCCATGAGCCCCAATGAGACTGCAGCAATCACTGGTGCACCTGTGCAAAAGTTACTAGGCCACATTATCCTATAAAACAGTGTTTACCAATCTTAGCAATTTATGAAGTGTGGACTGGCTGGGGTATTCTGAGAGTAGAAGTCCACACATTTTAAAATGGCTAAGGGTGGGAAATACTGCTTTAAAACATGACAACAATGCAAGAGTCACAGAACTGAAACTGCCATGCTGCTGCTTGCAACCTTCTCCATTCTGGTGTCCTCCAGAAGTTATAGGCTACAAAAGTTCATCATGTCCACTGCACATGCCTCAAGGAAACTGCACCCCACATGTGTGTGTGTGTGTGGGGGGGTACAAGAGAGAGAAAACTTCTGGAAGGTTCAGTTGTGACCTGAGAACTCCAGACAGTATTTATCACTATGCTTCAGAGAGGAGCAAAAAAGGAAAAAACAAGAAGAGGGCGACCAGCAGCAAGATGGACAAACTCAGCTAAGGTGGCAATAAATGCACTGCTGGGAGATTTGAGAGAACTGTTTAGAGATAGATAATGGAGAAAATCTTTCTATATCGACACTAAGTGTCAAAAATAGCTTGATGGCATAGAATCAACATAATTGGAGGGAGAAAGTTTGCAGATTATCTCTGCCCAGGAGGAAACGCTGCAGGTTATGGACAAAACAATCCAAAACAACTGATAGGTTAAGCTGGCAGCTATCATGAAATAGACACATGTATGTCTTTGCACTGACCAAGATGCAGCTGGACATCCTTTACTTCCAAAGTGTTAGACTTGCGATGCCGTGCGAGCTGGCAGGCAGCGGTCACCACGCTTTCAATGAAGTCATCAGCAATCTGCAGCAACATCTGTCAAAACAGAATTCAGCATCAATAAGAATGGCGGAGGTCACCAACACTTTGCTTCAGAAGGTTTTTCTTCTGACAATTCAAGGTACTGACAGAGCATTCTTGGGACCCCTCCCCCCACCACCAAAGAGAAAAATTAGAAGGAATAAAATGGCACATTTTAATCAAGGAGAGGTTTAGATGTTTGTGATGCTCGTTTCAGCTAAGGCCTGCCTACCTCCTCCACATCTTCATCCAGCTGCTCATTCGGATCCACTTCTCTAACCAGATCCTGCAGTTTCTTCTTCGTTAATATCTATAGAAAATATCAGCACATTTTATTGGGTTCATTCTGCCTAAGTCACTTCTGTGCAGATAAGATCAAAAGATCTTGCTTCAGGAGCACTTCCGGTCAGCAACATATATAAAGCAGAAGTGGGGAACTATGGCCCCTTTAAGAATTTGTGGACTTCAACTCCCAGAATTCCTGAGCCAGCCATGCTCAGAATTCTGGGAGTTGAAGTCCACAAGTCATAAAAGGGCCATAATTCCCCATCCCTGCTCTAAAACAACCTCCTCCCCTCAGACCCCTCCAGATGTGCTGACTACATCTCACATCATGGCCAATTACCTGATTACTTTCAGGACTGAGGCGCCCCCCACTGCTGGGGGTCCCAGGCATCTTTGCCACAGAGGTATTGTTTGCCATGGAACTATGAGGAGGAGTGTTGCCTGCTTCTGCTTTGATTGAAGAAAAGTTTGATAAATTGATCAAGGTAGATGGACCAAACTGGTTCATAATCTGCTGAGCTTTAGCTTTGAGGTCATAGAGCTTATCCAGATCTTGCTTCTTTTTTGGATTATGTGGGCCCAAACCAATCAGCTAGAAGAAGAAACAGACCTTGAAGTTAAAAACAAGATGGTAGAATTGAAACGTCAGTATCTTGGACATGTTAAGGGAGTTCAGGAACCGGTTATACTACAAAAGCAACTTACCAGTGAAAATATAGCAAATATTGTAAATAGCCCACTTCTTAGGTTTTTTCCTGAGCCGTAAGTTATTGAATGTAGTACATTAATTCAGCTCAGACTATAATTAGTTTAACACTGCAACTTGTAACACCACATCAAGACCAAACCATGCTGTACATGTACAATTAAAAATAGCAAGTTCAATATCATCTTTATTACTCCTGTTTTAAGAACAAGGTCCAGACAGAATAATACACAAAATATTTAGAAGATTACAATGTTAATGTTCCATTCTTATTATCATGCATTTACTTTGGTCAACACACTGACAAAAAGACAATGATATTGTTTTGGGGGCGAGATTCTCATCTAGAACTGCTTTCAATATAATCAAATATTTCTTGTCAAGATAGAATACAACTGCCATTAAAAGGAGCTGGCTATGAAAGAGAGGAAGGGCATGGAGCTCAAAGCCAGAATAAGCTTTAGATTCTCTTTCCTATCCAATACTGGGCAAAGTTTACTTTGCCTCATTCACATTGTGCTAGAATACTGGTTTACATGGAAAGTGTTCCCTTTGATTTCCAAATTGATAGGGTAGTTGTAACAACTTCTAAGAGGAAGTACTGTATTAGAGCCAACCTATGGCTCTCTCAATATCTATTTCCTAGGAAGACATATCTTCTCTCAGGTTTATTTTAAAGAAATACAAATGTAGAGTATATTGGCTTTTTCTTCAATCTCACCTATTTGAAAGCTTTAGGTCTGTTGCACAGTAAATAGGTACAATCCAATTTAACATTCCTAGATTAACTGTTGTCCTAAAAACCAAGTTAAAACTTGGTTCTCCTGAGTAGGGGGCTATTTATAAAATATTCAATGGCTCCAACAAGAATGAAATACGGTAAGAGAACGCAAAGCGATTGATAGAATAATAAAGCAAACCTAAGATCTAATCTATACATGGACTTGGAAGAGAGATTTCAGTCACATATTCAATGACTTGAATTAAGAAACAGCACACAGATCATATTATATTGTGTTAATAAACTGGAAAGCAATATATTCTTGCAAAGCTTGTTTACCATCAGATTCCAATCTCGGCACATGATTAAAATGAACAAGTCACAAACCTGCAGCTTTTCATTATGATGCTAGCATGCCATGCGACGGTCACTTCAAGCCAATTTACTTACAGCTATCTGAGTATCTAGATCTTTAATTACATCAGAAACTGCTGTGGGCCCATTGAATGGAGAGGCCATTTTCAAAAAAGGAAAAAAAAAATGTCCCTGCAAGTAAATAGTCAGAATTAACCTACATCACAGTTCTTCCCTGGTTGTGCATACTTATAAAATTCTTTCAGAACATTGTGTTCCTGCCTCCAGCCTGAAAAATAACAGACTTTGACATGCAACAAAGCACAAACACAGGATTTCCCCCCCTCCCCCTTGTGCCTCCTTTAAAAATGGTTTTATAATTTTGGAGGTTACTGCTCCAAACATTTTGCCAACCCAAGTCAAGTTGACAAGATATTATAGAATAGAATAGAATTCTTTATTGGCCAAGTGTGATTGGACACACAAGGCATTTGTCTTTGGTGCATATGCTCTCAGTGTACATAAAAGAAAAGATACATTCGTCAAGAATCATAAGGTACAACACTTAATGATACTCACAGGGAACAAATAAGCAATCAAATCATACTAGGAAACAATCTATATAAATTGTAAGGATACCAGCAACAAGGTTACAGTCATACAGTCGTAAGTGGGAGGAGATGGGTAATAGGAACAATGAGAAGATTAATAGTAATGCAGATTTAGTAAATAGTTTGATGGTGTTGAGGGAATTATTTTCACTGACTTATCTGACTTATATTTCACTGAATTATCACTGACAGCACAAACATGAGCTTAAAGAAACCAAAACAGTAGTCACCAAAACAGGATCCTTCTGATGTTCATCGAGTTATTAAGAACCCAAAATGACTAAACAAGCTTTGATTTGGTTCTAAAGTGGTTACTATTCATGGGGTTTCATGTGCTGTTTAAGTGTATACATCGACCACTACAAAACACTGTGCCAATAGCAATAACGCACTAACACACAATAATGTATTATTTTTTCCCCAAATACATTTTTTTTTTCCAAATACATTTTTTTTTTTAAAAAAAGGGCAAAAGGTGACATACGGGTGTTTGAAAACCAAAGTAACATCTAGGAAAGTGCTGTCAAGAGGAGGAGGAGGGCGGGAAGCCTATTAAGAGAGCCTGAGTGATGTGGAGGCAGTATTGGGCTGGCGGTATGTGGGTGAATAAGTTACAGCCCCCTCCCCACCACCTCAGGCCAGCCTACCCTCAAGGGTTGTTGTGTAAGGCAGGGGTCTCCAACCTTGGCAACTTTAAGCCTGCGGACTTCAACTCCCAGATGTGGGTGAATAAGTTACAGCCCACCCCCCATCACCACCTCAGGCCAGCCTACCCTCAAGGTTGTTGTGTAAGGCAGGGGTCTCCAACCTTGGCAACTTTAAGCCTGGCGGACTTCAACTCCCAGATGTGGGTGAATAAGTTACAGCCCACCCCCCACCACCACCTCAGGCCAGCCTACCCTCAAAGGTTGTTGTGTAAGGCAGGGGTCTCCAACCTTGGCAACTTTAAGCCTGGAGGACTTCAACTCCCAGAATTCCCCAGCCAGCAAAGCTGGCTGGGGAATTCTGGGAGTTGAAGTCCTCCAGGCTTAAAGTTGCCAAGGTTGGGGACCCCTGATGTAGGGGAAAGCCAGTCCTTGAGTTACACTTAGATATGGCGCTAAAGAGCAAATAGGCATCTCTTGACTCCTTTTCTCCGTCGCCTTGTCTTAAGTTTAAGCAGGGTTTCATCCCGGCCACCCCTCTGTCTCTGTCACGGCCCACTCCTTCCCTCACTTACTTACCGGCGCCTCAGCCGCCTAGCTTCTCATATCGCTCGCGCTCCTTCGGACGAGCAGCCGCCACTACCACCACCACCAGCAGCCGCCTTCGCCTTCAGCGGGTTCTCCGCCGACATAACACTTCCGGGGTCACGACCGCGAAGGCACGGAAGTGCCGGGCAACACCCTTTTTGTCAGCCCGCGCGCCAACCGGCCTGCTTCACCAACCAATCGGGACGTCCCTCTTTTTTTTTTTTTTTTGGCCTTTCGTCCGTTGGGCGGGTCTGGCTTGACTGCGCAAGCGCCAAACTCCGAACGATGCTGGGTTGGGAGTTGTAGTTCGAGCAGCCTCGGGGAAGTTTTTTTTTTTTCCTCCCTTTTCTTTCATGGTCTTCACTCTTGTTCCGTGTAGAAGCGGACGGACCCCGCCGTAAAGCGAGGATTATAAAGGCTCTTGTTCTGTGCAGGTAGGTTGACGGGCACTGCCCGCTCGCAGGACGTTGCCTGTCCAGGCGAACTGTAAATTTTAAGGGGTTCCTTTGTGCAACCTAAAATTAGTTATTTTTGGTGAACTGACTTCTTTTGGTTAATTATTCTTTAGCGCATTGTGCCGACTCGGAAATTGATTTCATTCAGTTTCGCAGTCCCAAAGGTGCTTTTTTCAGGAGGCAACTGGACTTTCTTGTTTTTTTTTTTCTTTTGAAGACGTTTCGCTTCTCATCCAAGAAGCTTCTTCAGCTCTGACTGGATGGTGGGGAATGGAAGGATTTATATTCCTTGCAGAACAGCTGGTCATTTGCATCCTTTTAGAGGGTCATTGAAGCCCTTGGAGGTTTATCTGTGTCTTCAGGGCACTTTTAGACTTTTAGCTATACAATTTGGGATGAACACCCTTTGAATGGTGTGGGAGTAGGAAGGGATTTCCAGAGGAAAAATTGCAGACTACAGGAACCATTTGCACTACTCAGGTGACCCTGAGGACACAGATAAACCACCAAGTGCTTCAAGGACCCTCTCAAAGGATGCAAATGACCAGCTGTCTGCAAGGAATATAAATCCTTCCATTCCCCACCATCCAGTCAGAGCTGAAGAAGCTTCTTGGATGAGAAGCAAAACGTCTTCAAAAGGAAAAAAAAACCCAAGAAAGTCCAGTTGCCTCCTGAAAAAGCACCTTTGGGACAACCATGACCTGGATGGCTGAGAATCTCTACAGACATTCAGTTTGCAGGCTAAGCATTTTGTGCGAACAGAGCGGAGACAAGAATGAGGGAAAACCAATGGATTTTGCATCTAATATCTTGGAAAGGGAAATAAACACTTGTATCCCTCAAATATAATCCTCGATTTGGAGAAGGGAGATTGTGGTCCCAATGCCAAATGAGCTAGAACTGCATTTGCATGACCCACTGAATCGCAAACTAGACGACACCCCCCTTTGGGTTATGCAACCCAGGCATGCCATGATCGGTTTATGGTACAGCCAGCCATATGAATCTAAGAAGCAGAACTCATTCAGCCGTTGTTGTTGTTGTTAGTTGTGAAGTCGTGTCTGACCCATTGTGACCCATGGACAACGTTCCTCCAGGCCTTCCTGTCCTTTACCATCCTCCGGAGACCATTTAAGCTCACGCCCGACTGCTTCAGTGACTCCATCCAGCCACCTCGTTCTCTGCCGTCCCGTTCTTCTTTTGCCCTCAGTCTTTCCCAGCATGAGGCTCTTCTCCAGTGAGTCCTTCCTTCTCATTAGGTGGCCAAAGTATTTCAGTTTCATCTTCAGGATCTGGCCTTCTAAAGAGCAGTCAGGGTTGATCTCTTCTAGGACTGACCGGTTGGATCGCCTTGCAGTCCAAGGGACTCGCAGGAATCTTCTCCAGCACCAGAGTTCAAAGGCCTCAATTCTTTGGCGCTCAGCCTTCCTTATGGTCCTACTTTCACAGCCATACATTGCAACTGGGAAAACCATAGCCTTAACCATACGCACTTTTGTTGGCAGGGTGATGTCTCTGCTTTTTAGTATGCTGTCTAGATTTGCCATTGAACCGTAGATCAGTGTATTATGCGAATGCAGCCAGGCTCTGCATCCGGGCTGATTCGAGGTTTAATTTGGAAGGTCTCTGTGCATTAAAGTTAAGGCCAACTTTCAAGTGAAAAGAAAAACCAGGAGACAAATATAAATGAATGAGCACTACTTGGAAAGGAATTGCCTTGTATTTCGGTGGAATTGATGTATTCCAGCAAAGGTGCTTTATTTTTTCAGTGCAGGCTGGTGCACCTGTCAACGGAAGTTAATTAGCAAAGCTAATTAATCCCTTCTACTTCCTGCGCTAAATCTGCCTTTGACAGGTCTGTCTGGAGCACGGAAAAACTCAACTCCCAGGCTTTCTACCCAGAATGCCATGTGTTAATTTGCATATCGGCTAGAAAAAGGGGGAAATGTTTGTTCTGTTTTAAAATCGAACCAGATTTGGAACCGTTGTGGCAATTATGCATTCAAACCTCCGTGGAGTTGACTGAGATGGCTCTAGTTTGGTAGCTTCCTCGCTATGACCTAAAGAGGCGTCATGGATCAATGGGAGCGGCGTTCGCAGAGCACTCGCTTAAAAAAGGGCTTCTGCTGTGATTAGCACATGGAGTGGGGTGGCTGCGGCTTGCTCTTTTCCGTGCGGAATCGCTATCAAGAGATTTCGGAAGCATAATTTTTGCTACTGGGGGTAGCTGGTAATCGCTTGTTCTGGCTCCCCGCTTTACGGCTGTTGAATAATGATAGTTTTGGATTAGTCCGGATTTACGCGTGCTTAAATTCGCTTTGTCCGCTGAAAGAGGAACCGTAGGAAAAAGCACTGAAAGATTGAAGGGAAAAGGTAAGGCTGGCGTCGGTGGATGAGGACGTTGTTTTTCAATGACGTTCATGGGGTCGCGAACAGTGGACTCTGATTCTTTTGGGAACTTGTTTGTTATTGCCTCACTCCTAGGACTGAGAGAGAGAGAGAGACTGGCAGAATCTCACCCAGAAAAAGCACTGAAAAAAGTGACTTATAATTGAAATTATAACTTGTCAGACTGAAAAGTGACTGTACCACTGGTTCTCACCCTTATGACTGTCAAAAGTTTTTCGGAATAGAACTGGAAAGGACCTTAGAGGTCTTCTAGTCCAACCCCCTGCTCAAGCAGGAGACCCTGTACCGTTTCAGACAAGTGACTGTCCAGTCTCTTTAAAAACCTCAAGTGATGAAGCACTCACAACTTCTGATGATAACCTGTTCTCACTGGTTAATTGTTCTCACGGTTAACCAGTATTAAAAGTGACAACCAGTCCTCACGATTACCATTATGGCAACATCCCCACAATCACATGATTAAAAATTTAGGTGCTTGGCACCTGTCATATCATTAGGACATGCAGTGTCCTAGGATACCATGATCACCATTTCCAATCTTCCCAGTTGGCTTCTGACGAACAGTCAACAAGTCATTTTATAACTGCATCTGTGTGAACATTAAACTAGGTAAAAGTGCCTGTTGGCCTTGAGCTAATTACGGCTGGATTTGGTTAGTATTTGTATTGGAGACCACAAGGGTGTTTCTGGGCTGTAGACTAGTCTGAGGAATTGGGGGGGGGGATTCCTCCCCCCCCCCCATAGTCTAAGGGAGCAAATAACTTCTCTCTGCTGGCCATCGGATGATCCATGCTGTCATCAGGAAGTGAGCTTGCTTCGAAAGTGTTTTTTAATTTTATTTTATGGTACATGCCCTGTCTTTATAGATAACTCTTAAATCAGTGTTAGGATGTATTTGCCCGTTCCTGAGCTCAAGGAAGACTGTCTTCTGAATCACCACAGTAAACCTCACAGTATAAGAGGAGGTTCTAGTTGTAATGGAACAATCACCCAATTACCGCTCTGAAAAAAAGCACACCTGGGTGTGTGTGTATATATATATATATATATTCTTCACTGGCTGTGCAGCAGGGAATCTGTGGTCTTCCAAATGTTACTTACCCACAGTTTTCCTTTGTTGTTGGCTAATGCTGGCTAGGCCTGTAAGAAACTCTATATCTGTTATTTATAAAGCGGGGTGCATGGTATATAAGGCTAGGATCCTTGAGGGATCCCCCTATCTCAGATCATTTATATACCAATTCCTACCATGAGTCCTGCAGCCTTTCCAGTAACAAAACTGAGAAAGTATTCACTTGCATTTTAGTTGAGTTTTTGGAAAACTCTCTCTAAAGGGAAAGTAACTCAGAGCCTTGATAGTACAGTGGTTTAGTGCACCCTGTCATTAACACAGCTGCCTGCAATTTCTGCTGGTTCGAATCTCTCCAAGGCTCAAGGTTGACTCAGCCTTCCATCCTTTCTAAGGTAGGTAAATTGAGGAGCCAGACTGTGGGGGCAATAAGCTGACTTTGTATAAATATACAAAAGGATGAAGGCTATTGCTTAACCCATTGCAAGTCGCCCTGAGTCTCCGGAGAAGGGCGGCATATAAATCAAATTAAAAAAAAAAAACTCAGTCCTTTTGCCTAAATTCTGAAACCATTCCCGCTGCCTTCTGCCCTTAACTGAATTGAAAACACAAACTTATCATACAGTCTATGGAGAGAGAAAGGAGAAAAACAGGGGAGGGGTTACTGCGCTGAACCAATCAGAATAAGACGGGGCGGGGCTACAGCCTCTTCTCTAACAGCTTTTCCTCCCTTATCCACGCTTTGCAGTCTGGCTTCCTCTTCCCCCCCCCCCCCCCCCAGCATTAGGAATGATAGGGTGGAGTTAATTGCTGGAATGACGCTTGCGCAGAGCATGCTTTTTTTTCCAAAGTGTTCGAGCTGCTATAAGGACTAGTTGAAGTGGCGAAGCCGTCTGTAAAGGCAAAAAAAAAAAGAAGGTGGGTTCGGGGTTGTTAACAGGCGCCTGGTCGACGGGGGGACTCTGCAGGGATGGGGGAAAGGAGCGTTTATTGCAATCTGCGGGAAAACAAATTGTTCTTGCATGGCGGAAAAGGGGTTCCCAGGAAGAGGACTTTGGCTTTGGAGCAGCGGCCGTAAGAAAGTTTTAGGAAGGCTTGGATTAGCAGCGCTGAGCCAAAGGGGACAGAAGGAGGTCAAGTTGACTTCTCGTGCTTGGAGATGCTTGGTTGGCCATTGGACTCGCTTGTGATCCCAATGGGGTAGTGGTCCCCAAACTTGGCAGCTTTAAGACTTGTGGACTTCAACTCCCAGAATTCCCAGCCAGCATAGCATAGCTGGCTGGGGAATTCTGGGAGTTGAAGTCCACAAGCCTTAAAGCTGCCAAGTTTGAAGACCTCTGGGTAGCTGGCTGGGGAATTCTGGGGGTTGAAGTCCACAAGCCTTAAAGCTGCCAAGTTTGAAGACCTCTGGGTAGCTGGCTGGGGAATTCTGGGGGTGAAGTCCACAAGCCTTAAAGCTGCCAAGTTTGAAGACCTCTGGGTAGCTGGCTGGGGAATTCTGGGGGTTGAAGTCCACAAGCCTTAAAGCTGCCAAGTTTGAAGACCTCTGGGTAGCTGGCTGGGGAATTCTGGGGGTTGAAGTCCACAAGCCTTAAAGCTGCCAAGTTTGAAGACCTCTGGGTAGCTGGCTGGGGAATTCTGGGGGTTGAAGTCCACAAGCCTTAAAGCTGCCAAGTTTGAAGACCTCTGGGTAGCTGGCTGGGGAATTCTGGGGGTTGAAGTCCACAAGCCTTAAAGCTGCCAAGTTTGAAGACCTCTGGGTAGCTGGCTGGGGAATTCTGGGGTTTGAAGTCCACAAGCCTTAAAGCTGCCAAGTTTGAAGACCTCTGGGTAGCTGGCTGGGGAATTCTGGGAGTTGAAGTCCACAAGCCTTAAAGCTGCCAAGTTTGAAGACCTCTGGGTAGCTGGCTGGGAATTCTGGGAGTTGAAGTCCACAAGCCTTAAAGCTGCCAAGTTTGAAGACCTCTGGGTAGCTGGCTGGGAATTCTGGGAGTTGAAGTCCACAAGCCTTAAAGCTGCCAAGTTTGAAGACCTCTGGGTAGCTGGCTGGGGAATTCTGGGGGTTGAAGTCCACAAGCCTTAAAGCTGCCAAGTTTGAAGACCTCTGGGTAGCTGGCTGGGGAATTCTGGGGGTTGAAGTCCACAAGCCTTAAAGCTGCCAAGTTTGAAGACCTCTGGGTAGCTGGCTGGGGAATTCTGGGAGTTGAAGTCCACAAGCCTTAAAGCTGCCAAGTTTGAAGACCTCTGGGCTAGTCCCATACTACTCCCCCCCCCCTTTTAACTCGAGGATTCTCGGTTATTGAAGAAGATCCTGTGCTGCTTTGTCAAAAGGCACCTCGTGCTGATGCTCTGGATGAAGCTGGTGGTGCCAAGTATTGTGTGAGCAGTTCTTTGCAGTAGTGGTAACTTGGTTGTGAAAATGCACTCCGGTCCAGCCCTCTTTTCAGCAGTAATAAGTTCAATGTTAGGAAGCCAAAACCTCGGGGAGAAGCTGCAGTTTTGAGGATTTGGGAAAACGTTCGGGGCAGGAAGTGCATGCTAATATATCTAGCTGTAAATTAGTCTTCATGCAAAGGTTCATTTTAAAGCAGGCTTAGTGAAATTTAGAGGAATGCTTAGACTTTATCTGTTCTCTATAGTTGAGAGAGCCACAAACTTTCATTCATCCCAATGAAGTGACATTAAAAAATTAATTTCCCTCAATTTCTCTGCTCTTCAGGGCGTGAATCACTCACTTTCCTCGCAATCCAATCCTGTCGAGTTAAGCAGGAAACTGGCTCCATTATGACTTCTTGTTTCTTCACGCAGCTTCCGCGTTGGTTTGGGGTGATGGGAATAGCAGTCTAATTGGAAAATATTCTGCTGTGAAAAGCTGTTTTGCTTTTAGTTTTTATCTATTATAATGTTTGCTCCAGTTCATACATAGAGGTGGCATTGCTATTGTTCTTCCTGGCATCTGTTAACAACAAGCTGCATCTTTTGTGAGTGAATAATAATCGATCTTTGCTGGCTATATCATATGCTTCAAACCAGTCGCCAAATTTTTAGATTTGTTAATGTGTTGGTGTAGTCAGTGACAGCAGTTCCTACAAGCTTATGTTTTATTTATGTCAGTATCCATGTACATTCTGTACTTTGAATCAAAGGGCATGTGCGTCTTTACTTGTTTCTCTTTAAAATTCAAGAAACGTGTTAAAGTTGCTTAAGCATTTGCGTTTTGCAGTGTGAAACTGGCCTAAAATACACGGGCAATGTGTAGGCGACAGTCTCTCTCTATACATCAAACTCAACAGATATAGACATTTGAGGAAGAAATATATCTTGTAATGTATTTTTAAGACGTTTTCTGCATTTTGAGCATTTAAGCCTGCTCAATAGAGAGCAGGCTCTAAATCTCAATATAGAGATTTTAAAAAAAATCTTTTAAAAAGATTTTTAAAATAGGTATTACATTTCAGTTGCAAAAAAATAGTAGTTTTAAACAATAAATTCCTAGAAATAATTTGGAAATCCAATCAGTTCCATATTATGAGAAACTGGCTATTGTAAATCAAAGTTAAACTTGTACTCTCAGTATTATATTTTATTCTCTTCACATATACTTACTTTTATGTACACTCAAACATATTGGATGACTTTGAACTAGTCACTCTCGGAGAGAATGTGCCATGACAGCCATAAAAAGACAGGATCCAAAATTTTTCCATGCCTGTAAGCTAATGCGATTGTTGCCCCCAATTCGGGTCAGAGCCTGGTGCCGAAGCCAATGAAGGACGCCAGACACGAGGTGCAGGTTTTGCTTTTTATTGGGGTACCCCAAGGAAAAGGGCTCCTGGCCAAAATGCCAAGAACCAAGGATTAAGTAACCTTTATACATTTTCACTAAAGGAGAAGGCGGGACAAGGCGAGATAATAAGAAATATCTAATAAACATTTTAGTAATAATTCTACAATTTGGTCTATTGGTCGCTAGCTGTCCCTATTCCTAAACCTTGGCTAATGAATGCCCCAGGAGTTACCTAACACACATTTTATTTGCTGCTGGCCATCTCTATTCCTAACTTTTAGCTGAGGTCTGCACCGTTGCCTAACTCTTTGTTACTTTTATCAGCTTTCTAACTACCCAGAATTGTTACAAGCTTTACACATGCTTATTTCCTGTGGATAAGCATTCTTTGTTCTTGCCAGACTGACTCCACAATTACAGTCTTCCTGATTTACTTTCAAGTGTGTGCCATGACCTGGCTTTATTTTAGCAGACAGCCCATCATCTCCCTCCTTTGAATCTGAAAATGATTTAATTTTCCAAGATTCACCCAACATCAATATCGGTGTATTGGGAGACCCCGTAGTTTGCTTACAGGTGGAAAGGCAAAGGGGAAGGCATTGTAATCCACAACAGGTGATAAGAGAACAATGATTATGCATGCCAGGGTCATTACCAGGGTTCCTAACCAGCTGAAATCAGGTAACCACCTTGTCAGCCACTGCCACAAGCCTTTCCATTCATCCATGGGAAGAGTCGCAGCTATCTTTGCTATGTGTTTAGCTTGGTTTTGGAATTCCTCTAATTTGTCCGGAATATACACACAGCATTGTTGTCCAATTAGCACGGACACACCTCCTTTGGGTGCCAATACCATATCTAGAGCCATTCTATTCTGAACAGTCATTTGTTGTATGGCTTCTTGTTCTTTTGCTGTAGCAATTAAAAGCTCCCCGGTCTCATTAGCTAGGATTTCCACCACTGCCTGTATAGGATACATGGCATTACTGAGGGATCAGAGCCCACCAAACCAGGAAAGGGGTTGATAATCCTTCAGATATTTTCTGGATTGGTCAAGATCCCTGTGGTTTCTAATCTTCCCTTCAATAGAATAGAATTGCTTAATGCATTGTAAGCCGCCCTGAGTCTCCGGAGAAGGGCGGCATATAAAAATAAAATTAAAAAAAATAGAATTCTTTATTGGCCAAGTGCGATTGGACACACAAGGAATTTGTCTTTGGTGCATATGCTCTCAGTGTACATAAAAAGACAAGATACATTCGGCAAGAATCGTAAGGTACAACACTTAATGATAGTCACAGGGTACAAATAAGCAATTGAATCATACTAGGAAACAATATAAATTGTAAGGATACAAGCAACAAGTTACAGTCATACAGTCATAAGTGGGAGGAGATGGGTGATAGGAACTATGAGAAGATGAGAAGATTAATAGTAGTGCAGACTTAATAACTAGTTTGACAGTGTTGAGGGAATTATTTGTTTAGCAGAGTGATGGCATTTGGGAAAAAACTGTTCTTGTGTCTAGTTGTTCTGGTGTGCAGTGCTCTATAGTGTCGTTTTGAGGGTAGGAGTTGAAACAATTTATGTCCAGGATGCGAAGGGTCTGTAAATATTTTCACAGCCCTCTTTTTGACTGGTGCAGTATACTCAATGGAAGGCAGGTTGGTAGCCATGGTTTTTTCTGCAGTTCTAATTATCCGTTGAAGTCTGTCTCTGTCTTGTTGGGTTGTAGAGCCAAACCAGACAGTTACGGAGGTGCAGATGACAGACTCAATAATTCCTCTGTAGAACTGGATCAGCAGCTCTTTGAGCTTCCTGAGTTGGCGTAGAAAGAACATTCTTGTGCTTTTTTGATGACGTTTTTGATGTTAGGTGTCCTTTTTAGGTCTTGAGATATGAAGGTAAAGTGGGGGTAATATAGGTGGGTGGGAGGAACACAGCTATGTAACAAGTTCCCTTCCAGTGTCTGGGAAGACACTTATAGGCTCGCTGTCCACAGACAAAACACTGTCCTATCAGAGCGCACCTTATTGTGTTTTTATCATAGTATCTATTTTTGTACCCATATGGTTTAGTAAATAAGGTTGTATAATACCCAGCTAAGTTAGTTGGTTTCCATGTTGGAGCAAGCTCTCCCTGTCGTAACGCATAAGTAATTGGCATAGGCTGACACTGGAATATAGTCAGTGGTGAAATGTAAAATTTGTTATTACCCGTTCTGTGGGTGTGGCTTGGTGGTGGTGGTGGGGTAATGTGACTGAGTGGGCGTAGCCAACTTTTTTTTTTTTTTTTACTTTTAAAACCATTTTTTCTACAACCTCTTCGGCCGAAGAGATTGTAAAAAAATGATTTTAAAAGCCTCTGACGATCCCAGCTGAGTTGCCTGATCGTCAGAGGCTTTTTTTCTTTTAAAAACATTTTTTCTACAACCTCTTCGGCCGAGGTGTCTGTTACTATTGGTACTAGATTGATTGATTGATTGATTGATTGAATTTATATTGCCACCTATTCACCTATGGCAACTCAAGGCGGCTTACAGAATATAAAACCATATTTAAAACAATAAAAGCTAACAAAAAGAATCACATAAATGAATATAGTACAATATAACAAAATCAACCCCCACCTCCTACCCTCTGCCCTGGCAACAGCAGATCACACAAGCCATTTAATGGGCTCCATCCCGCTCTGGATTCCCCAGGCCCATTAACAAAACCAAGTCTTCAGTGCCTTCCGGAAGAGAATTAGAGTGGGGGCCATTCCAGTCTCTGGGGAATGATGTTCCAGAGAGACGGAGCCACCACAGAGAAGGCCCTTCTTCTGGGTCCCACCAGGTGTATCTCCCTCGGGGATGGGACCCGCAACATTCCCTGCCTCCCCGCTCTGATAGATCGGGTAGATGTGACCGACAAGAGACAGTCCCTCAGATAACCTGGTCCCAAGCCATAAAGGGCTTTAAAGGTGAGAACCAACACCTTGGATTGCACCTGGAAGCAAATTGACAACCAATGCAGCTCCCGCAGGAGAGGTGATACATGTGCACATCAGGGTCTGCACAAAATCATGCGGGCCGCTGCATTTTGCATCAACTGAAGCTTCCGGAGGCTCTTCAAGGGCAGCCCCATGTAGAGTTCACTGCAATAGTCAAGAAGGGAAGTGACTAGAGCATGAGTGACTGTGAGTAGGATTGTTGGTCCAGGAAAGGGCATAACTGGCGCACAACCCACAGTTGCTCAAAGGCCCTCCTGGCCACGACCGCCACCTGCTCTTTGAGCAGGAATCGTGAGTCCAGGAAAACACCTATGCTTTGTTATCCAGGAACTACTGAAAGGGCTTAATGGAAATCATTAATCATTTCTGATGTGAAACAGACTTGACAAAAGCATAGCATAGGGGTTTTTTTATTTCTAAAATGAAAATATGATGTTATGTATATAGTCATATTAAACAAAATTCAAAAATAGAACAATAAGATCTGCATTATCGGAAGAGATAAACCTGTAATTCGATTTGTGTCACTTAATATTTTTTTGATTTAAAACTGCTTTATCCCATTAACAAAAATCATTTCTCTTTTCCTTTCAGTATTTTCTAGAGAAAAGTGTTAAACATGGATAGTGGTAAGTGCATGTTATCTATTTGTGCTCCGTAATAAAAGTTAACATTCACTTTGAAAAATGTGTAATGCTGTATAAATACCTTTTTATCTCTGTGGGTAATTTTTTTTTTTTTGCATGTCCATTGCCCAACTACCGTGTGTGTGTGTATGTGTGTACACACAGACATATATATATATATATATGTATATATATATATATATACTATATACATGTATACCCTTGTATACATATATTGTATACATGGGTACACATGTATACTGCACAAGTCAAAAAGAAGGCTGTGAAAATATCTACAGACCCCTCACATCCTGGACATAAATTGTTTTAACTTCTACCCTTAAAAAGATGCTATAGATCACTGCACACCAAAACAACTAAACACAAGAACAATTTTTTCCCGAATGCCATCACTCTGCTTAACAACTAGCTCCCACAATATTGTCAAATAATTTACTCAGACTGTATTTCCATTATTCTTCTCTTCCTTACTAGTATCTATCTCTTCCTACTTATTACTATAACCATGTGCTTGTATCTTTCAATTTATATTGTTTTTATATTGTTTCTTTGATAGCTTATTAGTAACCTTGACTATCACTAAGTGCTGTATCTCTTTATTCTTGATGAATGTATTTTATTCTCCTTATGTACCCTGAGAGCATATGCACCAAAGACAAATTCCTTGTGTGTCCAATCACACTTGGCCAATAAGGAATTCTATCTTTCTATCTATCTATCTATCTATCTATCTATCTATCTATCTATCTATCTATCTATCTATCTATCTATGTAAGATTCTCCATATCAGTTTCTCCATTCCAACAATGCAACCTTGTAAGTACTAGTAAACCCTTGTTTTCTGCAGTTTTCCTCATAGAGGCGAAGGCCAATTCCGTCTTAAAAAGATACCCACGGGCTAATGGACTTTTAGAAGAACTTAAAAAAGGAAACATCGAGCGTGAATGTTATGAAGAACGCTGTGATAGAGAAGAGGCAAGAGAAGCATTTGAAAATGATGAAAAGACAGTAAGTTACCTACTAAAAAATATAAAACATTCATCATATATTTATCTAATATTTTTCCGCATACCATATTTTTCAGACTATAAGACACATCTAAATTTAGAAGAGGAAAACAACAACAAAAAGTTTTTGGCCTAGCTTTTTTCAGGCCTTTTCTAGTCTTTTTTCGGCATGTTTCTGGCCTTTTCTTGGCCAATTTTCAAGGCTTTTTGCGGTCCATTTTTTCCAGAAAAGCAGGCCGAAAAAAGCCTCAAAAACGGGCCAGAAAAAGCCCTGAAAATGGGCTGAAAAAAGCGGTAAAATGGGTCAAAAATGGGCCGGAAAAGCCTCAAAAACAGGCTGAAAAAAGCCTCAAAAATGGGCCAAAAAAGGCCTGAAAAGGCTGAACAAAGGCCTGAAAACAGGGTATGTGGAGGCCAAAAAATGGCTGACAGGTGGGCGGGGCTTCGGCAATATTCGGTTTATAAGACGCACAAACATTTTCGTCCCCTTTTGGGAGACAAAAAAGTGTGTCTTATAGTCTGAAAAATATGGTAATACATGATACTACATTAGAGCTATGGCATATTTTGTGTTGTCATCTTAAAGAATGAGGCTAGAAAATAACTACTAAATATGGAATTTTAGATTTTGGGCCTAGATGATCCTTACTCTGAGTCAGCTCCTTTTTGCTGAATCATTCCTGAATGATCTTTCAGCAGGCTTATAAGATTCATCATGTGACTATTTTTATTCAGCTATTTTTATTATAACATAGACAAGTTGAACTTCTAGGGATCCCAAATTTTAATTCCTCCTTTTAGAGGTTAATTTGTAAAAAGGAACTCATTTTTTTCTTGGTCTCTGTCTTGTTTTCTTCATTTTAAATGCTTCTATTCCACTTTTCATTAAAACATACTGCAATAAACGAAATACAAAATCAAAGCTAATGGCACAACAACCATAATTATAGTACCAGTAGGTAAAAATTGATTATAATAACAACCCATAATTAACTTTTTTTTAGGCAGAATTTTGGAAAGACTACACCAATGGACTCTATGGAGGAAGTAACGCAGGACAGAACTGGTACCCATTTTACCTAACGTTTCCTCTAGTCATTGGCCTTTTGGTGGTGGTTCTTATTATATTTGTCACATGGAGATGCCTGTTCCAAAAACATCCACATGGACAGTCCATGTACACACAGAGCAGAAGCAGAGAAGATACAGATGGCAGAGCCATTCCTGATGGGAGAAATCCTATCCCTCAGTCATTCAGTGTTCTTCACTCTGCCCAAGAAGAAATGTTTGAAGGCAATGGACGCTCCCCAGGGTACCTGAGCTACACAGAGAGACCTATGGATTTCTTACCAACCCGGTTGTCGAACTGTGAGCCACCGCCATCCTATGAGGAAGTTGCTGGTGAAAGTACCACATACAGAAATGAACCTGCAAATCATTTGGATCCACCTCCTCAGTATGAGGACATTGTGAATAGCATTTCAGTCCCTCATGTTAACATCAAATGAAAGAGAACGATGACAAGCTCCCTTTGTTTCCAAGCAAATGAACCTTAACACTTTTTAGCACTTTATTGCAGCTTGATGTTTCAAAGATTTCTACTGTATTATGCCGATTCTTACTCTCTAAATTTGGGTTTATTCTGTGAGAATCCCTACACTTGGGGAAACAAAATGGTCCTCAGCGTAACTTAGATATTAACACTAGGTATGGCATTATTGTCGTGGCGTACTTTTTTCTACTATTGAAAGTGGTGCTAATAAATGGCTCAATTATCACAACAGATTGTCTATGCAGATGGCAAAACAGGACTGGTTTTATCTAGGTTCAGAAATTAAGCAAAGTTGGTCTTGATTTTTGTTTCAATGCGAAACCTCCAGGGAATAATAGCAAGACTAGACTAAACTAGGAAAGTCAAGAAAAGATCTTGAAGGCAAAGTTAAACCACTTCTGTGTTGCTCTCAAGAAAACTACATAAATGTATCCATGAAATCAGAAGTGAAGTCGGGCTTGAAAAAGACTTAACCTTGAACAAAATGGATTACAGCAAGAAACGCTGACAATTTCCCCCTCAGAATAAGTATTTTTTGAAACCTTGCATAGCAAAAACAAGCAAATCATTTAGTAGGAATCATGTAGTAGGTTTGTCTCTGAAATCTTCTACTTGTTACAATGAACACTCATTAAAACCAGTGGGGGTATTCAGCCGTTCTATCCGGTTCGGTCGAATTGGTAGCGGCGGCTGCAGGTAGCTCCGCCCACCTGCCTGGATGTAATCACGTCCCATTTATCCACGTTTTTGACACTGCGCATGCGCGGAGGTGCACGCTCACATTTGCGAACTGGTAGTGAAGGTAAGTGAATACCATCCCTGATTAAAACGTGTTGATGATTAACTATATTCAAGCACAATATAGTTTGATTCTTCAGATGAGTGTTAAAGAAGTTTTGTAATGCTTTGATCTACATTTCCATTTGTAAGCACCCTAAAGACTATGATTCTGGAGACTCCCTATGTTCTCTTTTGACTGGCGTCATTCCAATGACAACGGCTTCTCTTCAGTCATTTGTGCACTGAGCATAAAGGCTTGCAGAAGAGTAATCACACTGGTTTGCATCTCAGTAAGGGCTATAATGTCTTTCTTTTCCCAATAAAGCTTTCTTCCAAAACCGTTTACATAAAATGAGTGAATTCTTTAGGGCAGCCAGTGTCATTGGAATGACATCAGCCAACAAAATAATAACTCCTCCAGTTTAAATAAGGCCTGAATAGAGTTAGTAGTCAGTATTAATATAATTTTCCTTTGTGTAATAACAATATTCTAAAGCAGGGAGTGTCAAACTCGAGGTCCGCGGGCTAAATCTGGCCTGCAATGTTAGATCTGGCCCATAGGGCCACCCTGGAAACAGTGAAGGACTGGCCCAGCGCAGGCCGAACTACAACCTGGTGGCAGCCATCTGGGCCAGAACACAGTTTGCCTTATATCTGCGGGGCTACCTGAAGCCAGTGATGGGCTGCCCCCTGGGTGCACACGGACAGCACACACGGGGCCTTTGCATCCCCAGGGACCATCTTGCCCTGCAGGCTGACTGCGTTCTGAGCGCATCCCTTTCATCCAGGACACATGCGCTCACCACTTCCTGTGTGCATGCTCAGGGGGCGGGGCCAAGGCTGTGGGGCGGTCTCTCGCTAGCTCCAGGCTGGCTGTGTGGGCCAGATCTAAGACTAGTGGTGGGTTGCTACCGGTTCACCCCGGATCGGGTGAACCAGTAGTGGCGGCAGCGGGAGGCTCCGTCCACACGCTCGGACGCTTCTGCACATGTGCAAAAGTATTGCAAGCGTACGCACACCCACGAGCGAACTGGTAGCGACGGGTTTTGAAACTCGCCCCTGTCTAAGACTGACCATGTCCCGGCCCGAATGGCCGCAGCAAATTGTAGATCAGCACTGCGCATGCACGAGCACCTCCATGCCCCACTTGCCAGCCTGCCCTTGCAGTCTGCGAGTCTTCCCTTTCACTGGGGCCGCCCCCCATATTGGAAAGCCATGCCCGCCATCAGCACGGTCCCTGACAGCGCTGCAAGTCTCTCCTCCTTCCCCTCATCCCTTTCCGAGCGCGGAGGAAGGCAGGAGATGGGAATGGGGAGGAAAGAAGGAGGGAGGAAGTCTTGGCTGGGCAGCAGCGGAGCAGCCTTGGCCCATCGCTCTGCCGGCCATTAGGTTCCAAGGACACGAGTCCAACGTGACAAGATCCAGCTCCAGGTAAAGCGGCCGCAGGGATGGGTCCCCCCCCCCTCAGGAGACGCTGGGCCAGCCCGGTGCGGGGAGGGACTCCAAATCCCAGCATCCCCAGCATCCCATCTGGAGGATAAAACATGAAGAATGGTTGCAGGAACTGGGTATGTCTAGTTTAATGAAAAGAAGGACTAGGGGAGACATGATTGCAGTGGTCCAATATCTCAGGGGTTGCCACAAAGAAGAGGGAGTCAAGCTATTCTCCAAAGCACCTGAGGGCAGGAAAAGAAGCAATGGGTGGAAACTAATCAAGGAGAGAAGCAACTTAGAACTAAGGAGAAATTTCCTGACAGTGAGAACAATTAACCAGTGGAACAACTTGCCTCCATAAGTTGTAAATGCTCCAATACTGGAAGTTTTTAAGAAGATGTTGGATAACCATGGTGGTGGTGGTTTTCCTGCCTAAGCAGGGGGTTGGACTAGAAGACCTCCAAGGTCCCTTCCAACTCTGTTATTCTATGTTCTATGTAGTTTAAAACATCTGGAGCACAAAGGCAAGGGTGCCTATGTTAGACTATGCCTCATTTGAACAGTTATGGCGTTGTTTTTTCCGTTCTTCTTCTTCCCTCTCCTGAAACCTTCCCAGATCTTCGAAGGCAACAGCAACAACTACCAGGAAGGAGAAATTTCAGGAATGGAGGGAGGGAGGAAGGGAAGGAAGGAAGGAAGAGAGGGAGGGAAGGAAGGAAGGAAAGGAAGGAAGGAAGGATGGATGGATGAATCCATTGAGACTTGGGCTCAAAGGAGAAAGCAATTTTCTGTTCTGTTTTATCAGAGACGGGACTTCGTTGGCAATCCAAGTTAACATTGGTATTCTTAAAGTGTGAACTCTTAGAAAAGTATTCCCTCCTTGTGTGATGCAATCAGCCATTTCCAGTGGGGAAAACAAGACAAAGCAGAGTGGGGAAAAACATTTTCCTTTGCTATATTTCCAGTCTGAATTAGGATCATGGCAGGGTCCCTGCAGCACAGGCATTACATGTATGTGAATGACCCAGGTTGCACTCCAGAGAATGCTGGTTGGCAGAGATGATGCCCACCTCCTAAAAGAAACAATTATCTGAAACATGAGCAAATCACTAGTTTGCTGTGGCATAGATTCTCTGTGTGAATTGTTTGAGCAAAATATGTAAACTCTAACTCTTTTAATTTGGATGATTAAGTTATAGATACAAATCTTGGAGCCTCAGAGGCTCATGTTATTAGTTCATCCCAATATAATAATGCAGAGCAGGAGTTCGTTCTTCTGGTAGGTTACCTCATATGCAATTCAATAAACATACAAATCCTTGGCTAGAAGAAATCAGATTTTTTAGATGTATTTTCTCTCAATTATATTGAGTCCACTTCTATGAAATATTAAAAATGATGTTTCCATTGAGCTTTATTTTTATGCTTTACCTTTTTGTTATGTCAATGTATTTTAGTTTATATAAATCTTGTATTGTTCATTGTACACTAATTCCAGTGGTGAAATGTAAAATTTGTTACTACCGGTCTGTGGGCGTAGCTTGGTGCGGTGGGTGGGTACTATGACTGAGTGGGTGTGGCCAACTTTTTTTTTTTTTTACTTTTAAAACCATTTTTTCTACAACCTCTTTGGCTGAAGAGGTTGTTAAAAAATGCTTTTAAAGCCTCTGACGATCCCAGCTGACTTGCCTGATCAGCAGAGGCTTTTTTTCCTTTTTTTAAAAAAAAAGCCTCTGACGATCCCAGCTAACGTGCCTGATCGGCAGAGGCTTTTTTTCCTTTTAAAAACATTTTTTCTATAACCTCTTCAGCCGAAGAGGTTGTAGAAAAAATGCTTTTAAAAATAAAATAAAAGCCTCTGATGATTGCGCGGCTCAGCTGGGCAATGGGAGTGGGCAGGGTTTTTTGCTACCGGTTCTCCGAACCACCTGCCTCCATCACTACCGGATCAGGCGTTCCGGTCCAAACCAGGAGCATTTCACCCCTGACTAATTCTTTTGAAACAAAATGATTGCCTTCCAATAGATCATATAGTGGAACATGCAATCTTTTCAGTTTTTACATTTGAGCTTAAGCTGATTATTAACACGGGCAAGATGAAACATTCCAATCAGGCTATAACTGTAGCATTATTTTGAATACTTCTAAATGCTTCTAAATTTTCTAAAGACTAACAAACTTTAGAAGCCATTTGTTTTGTCGATAACGGTTTGACTCTCCAACAACTTGTTCAGTCTTCAAAACATAACTACCATTTTATTGCAGTATTAAATATTTTACATATATGGTTTACATTTAAATTATGCCACTTTAAAACATTTGATGGCAACTTCATATGCTAAATAAAGCTATTAAAAACACGAGTGTCCTGATTCTTTTTTTGTGTGGAACAAACGGGGTTCTTTTGCAGCCTTGTTGGCTCTATTTTAAATCAAAAAAGTTGTAATAAGATGCTGCAGGCTAAGACTAATCAAACTAAAATACCAAAACACTGGTGCGTCACATTGTAATAGCTTTTCAAAATAATATTGTACATTCGTCTCTAGTCTGCATGTTCATATTTGGCTGCAAATGGCATAGAGTTCACTGATGTTGGAAAGGCAGGGGTGGGCCCTTACCGGTTAAACAACCGGTTCGTCGAGCGCGCATGCGCAGTTTCCATAAAATTGAACTTCCGCATTGCAAACAAGGAAAGGAGCAAGGACAACAGCTGAAGAGGGCCAATTCAATCTGCCGCCCCTGATCAGCTGGGCTTCAGAAGCAGAAATAAAGGTCAGTGTAACCCGGGGGCAGGTGGGCGGGCATGCGGGCCCACTTTCACAGCAACAGAGAACTGGTTCTCCCTCGGCAGGAAGTGGGAACTACCGATTTAGCCGAACCGGTAGAATTCCACCACTGTGGCAAGACCAGCAAATTGTAACAGCCCTTTATTGTATTTATTTGATGAATACAAAAGTAGGAGAAAAGCTACCATGATAATTACAGCTTATTTCTGGACTGATAATTAGATGTCCTATATATTATTTATCAGTGTCATGCTGGAAGGCCGGGAATAATGCAAAAACGTACTTTGAAGGAACTGGAGAGGAATAAAATAATCTGTTTAAAGTATTACGTGGCATGCTTTGTTAATTATAGTAATGTGTAGGAATTCAACATATGAACATCACTAAACCCATGCATTTGGTGAAGTTTTTTTAAAAAAACGATTTATGCAACCTGTTTCAGAGGTGGGTTTCAGCAGGTTCTGACCAGTTCTGGAGAACCGGTAGCAGAAATTTTGAGTAGTTCGGAGAACCGCTAGTAAAAATTCTGACTGGCCCCGCCCCCATCTATTCTCTGCCTCCCAAGTTCCAGCTGATCGGGAAGAAATGGGGATTTTGCAGTAACTTTCCCCTGGATTGGAGAGGGAATGGAGATTTTACAGTATCCTTTCCCTGCCATGCCCACCAAGCCACGCCCACCAAGCCATGCCATGCCCACCAAGCCATGCCCACAGAACCGGTAGTAAAAATTTTTGAAACCCACCACTGGCCTGTTTTTTTTTTTTTTTAATTTGATTTATATGCCGCCCTTCTCCGAAGACTCAGGGCGGCTTACAATGTGCTCAGCAATAGCCTTCATCCTTTTGTATATTTATACAAAGTCAGCTTATTGCCCCCACAAACTGGGTCCTCATTTCACCTACCTTAGAAAGGATGGAAGGCTGAGTCAACCTTGAGCCTTGGCGAGATTCGAACCCTGCAGTAATTGCAGGCAGCTGGTCTTAATAAGCTTAATAACAGGGTGCCTTAAACCCCTGTAGTACCAAGGCTCTGTTTCTGTGGGTGTTGGTGAATTGCAGTGACCTTAAGTGTTGACTTTATTACCAGGAATTCCCAGGAATTAAACAGGATCTGAAAACAATAGATTGTGTACTTCCCATAGGATGGTTATAAATTAAATACTTATAAATAGTAAGGCTATGCAATGCTTTGGGTTTAAAAGCTACTGTAACTCACATTTCTGAATGTCAAGGCAGAAATATATAGTAGTATCTGTCTGCAGTTTAGCCTGAAATCATGCAGCTGTTTGTGCTTCTGTGTCTCCAAAGCATCTTTCTGTCTTCAATTCCAAATCATTGCATGGTTCTAGTAATAGGATACTTATGTGGTAGCATACAGGAATCATTTCTGCAAAATGGAGACCAGATCTTCCAAGTACTTTCAGAGATTGGGCAGTAGAGCCATAGATGAGCTGGCTCTTTTATCAACTTCCTGTCCAAGATGGATGCAAATAGATTATATTAAAATATCTATAAATAAAATGGGATTTAATTATATATTTGATATTAACTGACCTTTTCCAAACATTCATGTAGATATCATGCTATGTGCTTTGTATTACAGATCTATCTTGTGAAAACTTATTATGTTGTTGCTTTTATAAACTTGAGACTATTTTATCCTTTCATAACAAGCGGCATTGTGGCCTAGTGGTGAAAACGCTTGCCTCCTACTTGGAAGGTTGAGAGTTCAATCCTAGGTAGCGACAGATGTTTAGTGGGCCAAAGAAAAAAAATATCTGCTGCGAACTCCATGTAGGTGTCAGGAAGGGCACCCAGCCAGTAAATGCCCTGACTCTGCCCCAGATAGGTACTACAGGGTTGTAAAAAGAGAGTAATGCAGGGGTGAAATGCTCTTGGATCAGACCGGATCGTCTGATCCGGTAGCAATTTTTCCCTGTGGTTCAGCGATCCGGTAGCGATCAACTCCTGGGTGTCATTACTTGCTGGTTTTAACCAGGAAGTAATGTTTTTTTACCTTCTGCACATGCATAGAAGCAGAGGTGAAATCTAAAATTTGTTACTACCGGTTCTGTGGGCGTGGCTTGATGGGAGGGGGGATAATGTGACTGGGTGGGCATGGCCAATTTTTTAAAACTTTTAAAACCATTTTTTACATGTAAAAACCATGTAAAAAATGCTTACAAAAGGCTCTGACGATCCCAGCTGAGTTGCCTGATCGGCAGAGGGTTTTTAAAAAACCCTCTGCCGATCAGGCAACTCAGCTGGGATCATCAGAGCCATTTAAAAGGAAAAAAAGCCTCTGATGCTCGCGCTCCGCCGGGGCAGGGGGGGGGCGGGGTCGGGGATTTTTGCTACCGGTTCTCCGAACTGCCCGCCGCCATCGCTACCTACTCGCCCAAGCCGGTCCGAACCGGGAGCATTTCACCCCTGCACAGAAGGTGTGTGTACGCGCAGCGCGTGCGCTTCCAAACCGGTAAGGAAGGTAAGTAGATTTCACCCCTGGAGTAATGGGTTTGAAATAGCAAAGAGAAACAAGAGATATTTAATTATTTTGGTTTATAAATATCTTCCATAAACTAATCTTTGTCTATGGTAACATGGTTTTAGAAAATTGCAACATATCTCCAAAAAGAAAAGACATGAAAATATTGATGCCACAACAAAATTACAGGACAGCGTGCCCTTTAAAACAGTTCTGGTTTTTTTTAAAAAAATCATTGTTAGCAAGTCTGTGTATGTGCTGATTGTTTCAAACATCTGCTGTGTCAACACAATACATGCCATTGTAGGGACTAGAATTGTAAAGGGGCATTCTTCTGGCAAAGAAACCAATCTGCAGTTCAGTTTGTTAGGGTCATGGCATCCAAGCTGTAAACTCATGCAAACATCAAGTCTTACCAAACTTTAGAAGTGAAAGCGAATGGTTGTAAACAGGAATGAGTGATCTGTGTGTCACTGCTAAAATAGCCTTAAATGAAAAGTCTATGAAAAAAGAATTACAATTTTTAGTTCATCGGGGCTGTTACATCAATACACATAGGGGAGTTGTGGACACATTGTTGTCATCTGTTAATTGCCTTTGATCTTCAGAGGGATTACTTCAACTGCCATAAGATAATGGCTTTAATTAGGCTGATAAATCCAAGAGCATAAGAAAGTCTTTTTTTTATTAAAGAGGCCCAAAAGTAAATATAGCAAACTTAGCACTTCAGAAAGTAATGAGAATAGGTGCAACAATGAGTCAGTTTATTGTCAAGTCTTAGAACAGACGAAACAGATTTTCATGTGCTTACATAAGGTGAAATGTGCAAGAAAGAGCCGAAGAGATTGTAAAAAAAAAATGCTTTTAAAAGCCTCTGACAATCCCAGCTGAGCCGCGCAATCATCAGAGGCTTTTTTTTTTTACTTTTAGAGACATTTTTTCGGCAGAAGAGGTTGTAGAAAAAAATGCTTTTAAAAATAAAAATAAAAAAGCCTCTGATGATTGAGCATGGGGGAGGGGGCAGGGATGTTTGCTACCAGTTCTCCGAACCACCCGCCATCATTGCTACCGGATTGGGCGATCCGGTCCAAACCGGGAGCATTTCACCCCTGCTTGTGATGATCTCATTAGCTTTCAGCTCCTCTTTCTTGGAAATCTCTCATGGATATTGACTCCTGGAGGGCATTTACATTTGGGTATCAAACAGAATGCAAACACTGACTACAGTCAGGAAAATAATTTTGATTTTTCATTTCTGAATAGGAGCGAAAATTAAAAAACTCCAAGCAGATTTGTTAGTAATAGATGGCAAGGGAGGATGGGGGAGGAAAAAAGCAGATTTTTAAAATTTGGTTTACAAAATATTTTTCAAGGGGATAAGAATAGAAAGTAAGTTTAATGAGCTCTGCTGAATGAAGTTTTGTTCTTTTCCTTCATCTGGGAATCTCATAACATGTTGTACTTGTGTTCTTAACAATAATTATATCGGCAATGCAGCCAAAAGAAATTATAAATGCAATTGTACACCCCCATCCCGCACTGTTGTTTTTGGACTACAGGGCAGGCAAGCAAGGATTGTTGGAATACTTGTCATTCTCATGAGTTTATCAACCCAAGATTTAGTTAGAAAGTTCCCCAGCTTGGGCAGGGAAAGCATCATTTGGATCCAATGAAGGATTGTCCTTTGTAGATGTAGATCAGCTGACCCTATTGTTAGGTAGAGTAAGGCAGTGCCCTCAGATGGAAAATCCTTAGAGGTAGCAAGATATATGGGGAGAAAAACCTGTATGTCTTTGTCTGGTTACTGATGTTCTCCAAACCAGTCTAACTGGAAAATATAATTTTATCATCAGCCTCCTAAAGTAAGATTTAATCCCTTCACTGGCAGATGTTTGCATATCGAAGGAAAGACGGTGACATTTTGTTCTTTGCAAAACATCTAGATCATTCTAGGAGCACAGCAAGATGATGAATGCAGATTTCATAGGAAGAAGGTAAAGATAACGGAGTCCTTGCAGATTTTACTCTGCTAGTCATTGCCAGCTGTAGGGGGGCGGGGACCGATGCTCATCTCCATTTCAAGGCCATTG